CCCCCCCCCCCCGAAATAGGTCTCTTTATCGAAAGAAACATCGTTTTTCCAGAGTAGAACGTGGACAAATTTGCCACAACCGAATACTGAATTCGACTACCACGTGGATTGCAACATTTTGGGTTTCGATTTCCCTCCACTGAATTCTCCTGCGCCGTATACTCATTTATTCAATCCCGCTTGATTAGATTCTTCGGCTCATTTGGTGGCACTAGTGAATTCCCACATTCGTTCAGCTGGTGAAGGAACCCGTGCCAATCCTGCGTTCTTCGGCTTTTAAAAAGGCAATTTATATTACTACTGAACCCGTTTTATCTGATAATGTTCATCTAGTTGACTTTTTTGTTGTCGTGCCGTTTAGGAAACTCAGCTCAATGGTTACTAGTCAGCGTCTTTCACTACCACGCGGAGATCCTGTGCAATGTGGAATGTGCTTTATTTCAGACACTGACCAGTTTTACCTTATGCTCCTCGAGTTATTTTCCTCGAAATTGCGAACATGTGGTTGAAGCAGCTCAACGATCACCGATCTTGAATACTCTTTTTATGGCGAATAATAACAAATTGATTGTTTTGGGTCACGGTCGGGGGCCAACGCTCCCATAGCCGCTGTTTCGTGTTTTCCATCCGGAAATAATGACACGCTGTTATCTTTTATTTGTCAGATGTTTGACATGGTGTTCCGGAAAACTGGCATGATCTAATCGGTGTTCGACACGGATTTGTTCTCCAGGGCTGTTTGGTCGTATTTGTGTCCAACCGAGGCTCACGCGCGTTTTTGTTCGTGTGATCCCTCCCTGTATGCACAAACATACTTTCTGATCTGCTGTTCTAAATGTGACTAACTGTTGTCGTTTTGTTTGACACATCCGAATTGAGAAACATTCCACTTGGTCAGGTTTTCGACTTTCGTTTTCTCCCCACTTATCATCTACTATCTCTATCCTCTTCTCACACAGATAATCGTAAACCCTACTGATAGTGTGACCGCGACTGCTGTGCCTGCCGTTTGACCCGACTCGCGGATGTCCGATGGGTATTGTTACCGAGAAACGTTATAGGACGCACACAACTACAGATGATCCCAGTGTTTTTCTGTTCTTCGCCACCGGAAATGGATTACAGCACAAAGTGTCGGTCTTACCTCATTCCCCATCAACCCATCCGTTCATGCAGTCATATATTCATCTTATTCACTCGTTCCAACCTTTTTCATTGCTCTGAGTTGTTTTTTAACGCCATCCTTGAAATCCTACAGGTCTTCATCAGTTTTGCACCGGTTCCCATTTCATTCTTCAATTCTACACGCCACTGGATACCTTTTTTGAGGGTTATTGACCCAACCTAGTTTTCCCTGTTGTCAGCGAAGGGGTTGGGGGTGTTCTTAGGCAGCGGAAAAGAAATTTTGCACATGATCATTTTTATTCTTTGAAACTGAACTCCTATTGCCACGTTCCGCACAAGGCTCTGCTCTCACCTGCGGGCTGTTGGCATGACTAGTATCTTGTTTGATATGTTGCGCGAATTTTGTCACTACAGAGTTATGGCGCATTTTCTCTTCCGATCCTTTCTCGAATGAAGCATTTTGATCCTGTTCACCTAGCTTTCATTCCCGCCTTGGATATTCTCACATGACCGTTCAGTCCACATGCACGTTAATCCGACTGCGTCAGTTCCGAATGTCATTAACTCTTTTGTTTCAGGACGAACATGCGGTGAGTGAGCTGCAATGTTTCTCCCCTCCCCATCCCTTTCAAATGTTCCTGTGACAACTTGGTATGCAAACATATCCGTTGAAGAATCGATGGTCTCCTTGTGATCTCTTACCACGCTTGTTTCCACCGGCTCGTTCATTCTCTACCCGTTCCCATTCCATGTGAGGCTACTGCCATCTGAATGGTACATGCCCCACTTTGCATGTTCCGTTGACCTGCTCAGTCAATGAGTCAGTCCGTCTCTCGGTCAATACGGATCAACCGAAAATCGACTGCTCTTTTATCCCATTCCTGCGGGCTAATTTCGCATGCCAAGATTCCGCTACCGGTTCAGGCTATGTATTCAAGTTAAACTCACCGGTTGATTGGTTGTTGGACTAGTAATCTGAA